CATCGTGCCCAGCTCGCTGGAACTCCTACTGAATGACTTGAGCAAGCGCGCTTCGCGGGCGCCGCGGCCCGCGGGCTTGGCGGCCCTTGCGCCTGGCGGCCGGGCGCCGGACTGTGCGGCTTCTCCTTTGCGTCTCAAGCTCTCGCCCCGGGTGAAGAAGACCTGGAAGCCGCAGCTCTTCCGCCGAGAGCTGTACAGCGAGATCCTCGACAAGAAGCTCACGATCACGGTCACCATGCGGACGCTGGACTTGATCGACGCCGCCTACGGCTTCGACTTCTACCTCCTGAAGGTGAACGCGGCTCCGGGCCCTGCCGGCCCGAAGGCCTGTGGGGCGGCCTCCCCTTGCCCGTTTCCACGCTCGGCCAGCATCGCCGGGCAGTATGTGGGGGGACCGTACTCCGCGTGTGCACTGGGCTCGTGAGCCGTGCCAGGACTGTTGTGCTCGCTGCTTGCTCAAGTCATTCAGTAGGAGTTCCAGCGAGCTGGGCACGATGTCCTGCGACCTTTTCTTCTGAAGGATTGTCCACTTTTTCTCTGACCCCATAGACCCCAAAGGCTGAGCTGTGCTCTAAGCTAGGAATGGACCTGAAGCGCACTTTGCTTTTAAGGCTGGCGCGGAGGGACCCTTCTCTCCATCCAGATGACCCGGCCAAGCGGGAGGCTATTTACAACAAATACAAGGTGGGTGTTTCCAGAGATGGGGGTACTTTTACAGAAACACCGCAGGTCTTTTTTCCCCTTTGTCACCTGGTTTCAGTAGCAGGTGCAGTATAGGGGGAAGATGGGAAGCTGTTGAAGGGACCTTGGGTGTTCTGTAGTCTATCTGATCTATGTAGAATAAACACAACAGCACTGACAAGTAGAAGCTCAATATTTGCAAAAGTTTTGAGCAAGCTCAAAACAAGGTGCAATTGTTTTTAATCCTTTTGTAAACAATTGAGAGTCAGGGCAACACAGTGGCCGAGTTTTCTGATAATATCAAACTATTTAGGGTGGTTAAAGGCAAAGCGGATTGCAAGGAGCTCCAGAGGGATCTCTCCAAGGTGGGCGAATGGAAAATGCTGGTTATTGTGAACAAGTGTAAAGTACACTTTGGGGGAAGGGTTTCCCTTTTGAATTGAAGCTGAAGGAAACTGAGCTAGTGGTGACTGACCCAGGAAGGTCTCTTGAGGTTGTAGTGGGTGGTTTGAAGAAATGTCCACAAAAGCATAATTTGCAGTGAAAAAGACAACCTTTGTGTTACATGTAATTAAGCCCCAGAGCAGTGTGAAAGAGGCCAGTGCAGGTAGCCCCAAAATAAACTGGTACATTGGCAGAAAGGTTTGGGGGTGTTGGCAGTGGCTTTTCTGCAGGACACAGTTCATGATGGTTGCCTGTGTACTCTGACTTGTCCACTCCTGTCTTAAGCTCTGCCTCAAGATAGACTCTGACCAGATCGAGTACGGGAAACACTTTGAGTGTGTGGCGAGACTGCTGGATAGCGTTCTTGTCTTGCCTGTATTTCAGTGTGGCTATCGAAATGGCTCGTACATTTGTCTACAGTAATGTAGGAAAACACGGTAGAGGGGGACAGAAGATGGCTCCTGTGAGTCTGGACAGCTCACCTGCCTGTGTTGAGGCTGGCCTGGCCTGACTCTGCATTTTCCATTTCCAAAAACTTTGCAGCCAGAATATGTGGTGCTGATGGTTAGGAAAAGCAGAAAAGGTGGTTTCCCTGTCTTGGGAATAGTTACTCCTCTCTCCTTCTCATGGTAGTAGATCAGAACCCCCGGGCATCCTGAGAGGTAACACGGGGTGGAGCTCTGGGCCCGTTTTGCACCAGGTCAGTGGGAACAACTAAAGGGGCCAGGGGCCAGGTGTGCTTGCTTCCGCTGCCTCCCTGCACACCTTCACACTGAGCACTGCCGTGCACCTTATCTTACCCACAGGAGTTCGTGATCCCGGAGGAGGAGGCTGAATGGGTTGGGCTGAGCTTAGAAGAAGCCATGGAGAAGCAGCGGCTCCTAGAGAAGAAGGTTATGTTTATTTATTTATTTAAAACATTTCTATGCCGCCCCCATCGCAACAAAGCCTCGGGGCGGCTCACAAAGAATACATAAAACATACATACATAATAATAATATAGCAATTAAAAGAAGAAGAAGAAGAAAACAACAACAACAACATTTAAAAACCCCCGGTTCGTTCTCGACTAAAAATTTTAAAATTCTAATTAATACAATAATTTAGCAATTAAAATAAGTTTTAAATAAAAAGGTCTTAGCCTGGCGCCGAAAAACAAATAACGATGGTGCCAGGCGGACCTCTCTGGGGAGGGCATCACATAGATGGGGCACCACCACAGAGAAAGCCCTCCTCCGGGTACTCACCCTCCTTATATCATTCACAGAGGGTTCCCGGAGAAGAGCATCTGTTGCTGATCTCAAGGGGCAGGAGGGTATATATGGGCACAAGCATTCTTTTAGATATCCAGGTCCCAAGCCGTTTAGGGTTTTATAGGTCATAACCAACACCTTGAATTGGGCCCGGACTTCAGTCGGGAGCCAGTGGAGCTGACGGAGAACTGGGGTTATATGAGAGCAACGCCCAGTTCTCGTCAGCAACCTGGCAGCTCTATTCTGCACCAATTGAAGTATCCGGACCGTCTTCAAGGGTAGCCCCACATAGAGCGCGTTACAGAAGTCTAATTGGGAAGTTACCAGCGCGTGTGTCACTGTCGCCAGGTAGTCGTTCTTCAGGAAGGGACGCGGCTGATGTATCAGCTGAAGCTGAAGGAAGGCGCTCCTTGCCACCGCCGTCACCTGAGCTTCTAGAGACAGCTCAGGGTCGAGGAGCACTCCTAAGCTGCGAGCCCTGTCCTCAGAGGGAGTGCAACCCCATTTAGGACAAGGCCCAAGTCCCCCATCCCGAGGCTCGAGCCACCCACCAACAGGACCTCCGTCTTGTCTGGATTGAGCTTCAGTTTATTGGCCCTCATCCAGCCCATTATCTCGGCCAGGCACCGGCTCAGCACAGCCACTGCCTCACCTGGATTGGTGGAAAACGAGAGGTAGAGCTGGGTATCATCAGCGTACTGATGATTCCGCAGCCCACACCTCCTGATGACCTCTCCTAGCGGTTTCATGTAGAAATTAAATAGCAAAGGGGACAAAATGGACCCCTGTGGAACTCCATGGCAGTTATGCCATGGAGTTCCACAGGGGTCCATTTTGTCCCCCAGCACCACCTTCTGAAATCGGCCATTGAGACAGGAGCGGAACCACCACCACGCGGTGCCTCCAACTCCCAATCCCGCTATTCTATTCAGAAGGATACCATGGTCGATGGTATCGAAAGCCGCTGAGAGGTCCAGGAGAACTAACAGGGATGCACTCCCCCTGTCTCTCTCTCTGCAGAGGTCATCATACAGGGCGACCAAGGCAGATTCAGTGCCATACCCGGGTCTGAAGCCGGACTGAAATGGGTCCAGATAATCAGTTTCATCCAAGAGTGCTTGGAGTTGTCCCGCCACCACCCGCTCTAGCACCTTGCCCAGGAACGGGATGTTGGCCACCGGTCTATAATGGGCAGCCACCTCTGGATCCAGGGATGCCTTCTTTAGGACTGGCCGGACTACCGCCTCCTTTAAAGAGCAGGTACCCGGCCGTCTCTTAAAGAGGCATTGACTAACTCCAGGATCCAGGTCCCAATCCCGTCCTTGGCTTTCTTTAGTAGCCAAGATAGGCATGGGTCTAGTAAGCAAGTGGTAGGACGTACTTGTCCAAGCACCTTGTCCACATCATCAGGCCACAACAACTGAAATTCATCCATTAATTGTGGACTCGACGGTGTCGATGGCGTCTCCCCAGTAGAATCTGATTCAATAACAGAGTCAAGCTCGTGGCGAATCTGAGCGATTTTCTCCCTGAAATGCTTGGCAAAGTCGTCACAGCGGGCCTTCGAGGGTGGCACAAGATCTTTCTTCGGGCCCGGATGTATCAGCCCCTGCACCACCCAAAAAAGCTCCGCCGGATGGCATTGTAAGGAGGCAATGGAAACGGAGAAGAATTTCTTCTTCGCCATTCTCACCACCACAGCATAGGCCCGATAATGGACTCTTAAGTGTGTTCGGTCAGAATCACCCCGTGATCTCCTCCACCTACACTCTATACGTCTCCCAACCTGCTTCATCGCCCGTAATTCAGGTGTATACCAAGGAGATGAACGGGCTCTGCCAGGTGGGAGAGGACGCTTGGGAGCGATCGTGTCAATAGCCCTGGTCATCTCATTCCACAGTTCAACCAGGGCATCAACAGGATCACCAGCCTTGTCAACTGGAAAATCCCCCAGAGCTTCCAGAAATCCATCAAGATCCATCCAGCTCCGGGGGCGGACCAATACAACCGGGTCCGCACCCTCACAGAGGGAAAGGCCGCTCTCGAGCTCAAACCTTATGAGGAAGTGATCTGACCATGACAAGGGCGTCAAGCTTAAATTCCTCACCCTCTTCCTGCCTCGTCGAGAAAACCAGGTCCAGAGTGTGTCCACGTTCATGGGTCGGACCAATGACGTGTTGAGACAGCCCCATGGCTGCCATGGAGGCCATGAAGTCCTGAGCCGCCCCAGTTAGAACCGTCTCAGCATGGAGATTGAAGTCCCCCAGGACCAACATCCTGGGAATCTTCAACACCAGGTCCGAGATGATCTCCGTCAGCTCAGGCAGGGAGTCTGTTGGGCAGAAGGGTGCACGGTACACCAGCAGAATCCCCAATCTGTCTCGGTCGCCCAGCACCAAGTGGAGGCACTCCAGCCCCGGCCTCGAGAGGACAGGGAGCCCCACAAGGAAAATAGAAGCTCGATAAACCAGAGCGACCCCCCCTCCAGGCGTGGTTGGTGCTGGACCAGGTACCCAGGCGGGCACAATTGTGAGTGGGAAACATCCCCCCCCCACCCGCCCAGGTCTCTGTGATGCACACCAGGTCAGCCCTCTCATCCATGATCAAATCATGGATGAGTGTTGCCTTATTTTGGACCGACCTGGCATTAAGCGGCAGCACCGACAGGCCCGGAGGGCAGTTGACAAGTCTACCTGGAACCCGCCGGCTGGGGGAATAACCAGAAAGAGGGACACGTGTTAACCATCTGTCCCTCCTCCTCCTATGCTGACCCATTAGACCCCCCAACGCCATCACGCCCATTGCCCATCACCACTCCGATGGTGGCAGCCCCGCGCTCCCCAGGAAACATCATAATAAAGCACAAGATGCACCAATTAAAAACGATCTGTTTGGGGTTGGGTTCCTTGTATCGTGAACCGGGATGCTGCCTCAGGTGTCTGATGGGCGCACTCTCGCCTTTGGAACATCTGTTTGTGTGCGCGCACCAACTCAGTGACGCAGGGGCCATGTTTTGTCTGGCTGCTTTTCCCCTCGCTGCGTATGCCCTGCCAGAACACTGGGCAATGCGCCGGCCGGACAGCTTGGTCAGAGTGGAGTCTAGGCCAAGGCTTTGATTGTTTTGCCTCTCAGATACGATGGTGCTTGTTTGCATGAGGGGTTGCTCTGTATAACCTGTTTTTTCTCCACTGTGTGTGTGTCAGGACCCTGTTCCCCTGTTCAAAGTCTACATGGAGGAACTAGTGCAGCAACTCCAAGAACAGAAACTTTCTGAAGAGCAGAAGTTCTAACAAGTCATCGCAAACGCGGGGCTGGCATTGTCCAGCGTCGCCTTGAGCTTACGTTCAACAGACTGTGAGAAGGGACTTGCTTTGCCCGGGCTGGACTCAGAGCGGTGACATGCATGCGAAAGCTGTCTGCGGTGCCCTGTCAGAGTGCCACAGCGAGTGCCAGCCCGTACCTGGGCGTGAGGGAGGGCATAGCTGTCCTGGGCAGTACGCTCCTCTTCCCTCCAGGAGGCTTCCACAGAGCTCTAATAAAGAGGAGGCTGCCTTTACCTTGCTGCGCCCTGCCCGTTTTTCCAGTGCGTGGCTGCTTGAGAGCACGCCTGCTGCCTGGGAGCCGCGACCCCCTGCACACGGGACTGGAGGCTGGGCCATCTGGGACAGGACTGGCACGACACAAGGCTTTGGAGAATTCCAGGGCGTGAGCCACAGCTTCTCAGCTTCTCGAAGTGCTAGGCTGCCCGATTCCTGCAAGGTTGCTTTCTTCCAGATAGGAAGTACTTGCAGCAAAGTACAACGTGGGTTTAATAGTGTCTCTTAAGAGCGAACGAGCCAAATTTGTGTTTGAGTAAGTGGATGGTATTCAGGCCCAAAGCATGATAACTAAAGAAAGAATGGACAGCCTAGAAAGTGCTGCGGGGATGCAGCAGCCCCTGCCGTGTGTGCTGCAGCTCTCTTCCCCGCCTTCCTTTTGGTCTGCTTGAAGGACCACTGACTGCTGTCGAGACCTCTTGAGGCTCAAGGCCCACACTTCTTGGCTTCTGGTAGAAAGTACTGTGGCTGTCGAGCTCGTTAAAGAGAGAAGACGGCTGGACCCCAGAATGTCCTGTCCTGCCTTGGCTTTGATACCCAGAAAATGTGCAAGCCCAGAAGAGGAACATTCTCTGCCCTCGCTGCTTCAGGAAGCAGCCCCTTCACAGGGGCCTGTGCACAGGCCAGCAAGGACGCAGCAACTGCGTGAGGGCTTGCATCCTCCAGGACAGGCGGGCTCAGTGCTATCATGACAGAGGGCTGTGTGGCAGTTGTATGTTCAGGCAGAAGTAAACACACATGCAAGCATTCCTGCACTGTTGTTACGCCTTACATTGTGCTTCAGGGGCTGAATCTCCAGTGGTTCTTGGCTGTGAGGATAACAGCCGTCCTGCTGCGTTACGGCAAAGCATGATGGCCAACAGCAAAACTGAGCCAGGGAGTTCACTTCCTGTCTCCAGCCTCGCCGGTTAATCTATTCTTTTTGCAGTCTGAGGAAGGTAGATACCGCCTAGACATTTCTGGCAGAGGGCTTGCAAAAGTTCGTGCTTGTTCAGCACTGTTCTCTCCAGTCAGCTGGTTTTTTCTTCAGCCTCTGGCTCGCAGGTACAGCAAGGCCTCTGCACGACGGTCCTGTCTGGGCTCCCATTGCTGGCTAACAGCAAGAACTTTCAGGCATTTTATGCAGGAAAGTAGCTCGCGGTCCTCCCACGATCCTGCTGGGTTCATTGCTGCAGTATTTTACACTGCATCAAGACACACTGCCTTCCTCAGCAAGGTTCTTTAGATGACCTTTGGCTTTGGTGGAGTTCAAAACGATTGCTCTCCTCCCTGTGCTCTGCCCAGGTCTCCTGTTGTGCTCCCTGAGCAGAGTCCCCCGGGGGTTCGTGGCTACCTTTCCCTGTGCCAGGGCACCTGCCTGGCTTCTGCAGGTGGGAGACCTCACTTGCCCTGGGAGGCCGGCCTGCCCTCCCTCCTCCGTAGCCCTTTCTCTTGGCCCAGCGTAGCTGCTGTTCCATGGTTGCTTGGGCGCTTCCGCTCGTGCAAGGCTGTGGACCGTCCCTCCAGAGCCCAGCTTCTGTTCTCTGGGTGCCCCTGGGTCACACCATCAGCCTTTCCATCTCCTCCAAGTGGCAGGGCATCTGCCCATGAACTGAAGAGCCATGGCCAAGCAGAGGCAAGCCCTTGGACTTCCCAGACCACCCCAAGCCTCAGGCCAGTTGAAAGCTCGCCAGTCAGTTGCCAGCTGAGGGCTTATGCATCCCATTCCTCGAACGGGGCACCAGCCCCTGTGCAGAAAAGGGTACTCAAGGAAGACTTTTCAAAATCACCCTCTTTGGAATGGTATTTTAGCCCTATATTAGGGTTGGGGGAGTGCACCAGGGTAAGGTTAGGGTTAGGAAAATGAGGTGTCCTGGCATGATTTTGATGGTGGGAATGTGTTTAGAATGGGGAGAAAGGATGAGTTGTGTGGGAAAACCTCCAGGAAGGCTTTTTCAAAATCACCCTAGAACCCCTGCGGTTGCACCCTGTGGGAGAAGTGGTCGCTCATCGGCCCCGCACTTCAGGACTGGCCGCCCCGCTGGTAGGCACCAGGCAAAGTGCGAGGAACTTCGCTCCAGCAGGAGGCCCGCGGCCCCTGCAGCCTCACTTGTCCCCTCCGTGGCCCCAGCATTTCTCCCCCTGCCCGCGGTTGCGAGGCTTGCCGTGGGGAAGGGTCCCTTTCGCTGCTGCCGCCGCTTGTCCTGCACGGATGTCCCGCCAGCAGGCATGGTGTGCCTGCTGTGGCCCGGAGCAGGATGCGCCCAGGTGGTGGAAGGACAGCCCCTTCTCTCTAGTCTTGTGGCCCCTCCCCAAGGGGGGAGGGCGGAAACTATTTCATGTGGGATGAAAGTGCCCCGTCCCCCTGTTTATCCAGCAATTATAAGTAAATCGGTGGTGCCTACCGGGGCTGGTTGCTATAGTTACACTAGGATTTGAACGACCATCGTTTGGTCCCAGCCTCAGCCAATCAGGCAGAGGAGCCCAGGCTGCAGTCGAAAGTAAAGATTGCCATCTTCCAGCCACACAGTTGCCACGAGCAGCAGAGCGGTTCCCGGAGCGTGGCAAGTGCTGTGGACGGCTCCGGTCATGGCGGATAGTGGAGAACCCGGCAGGAAGGCCACTCTGCGCGGACTGCAGGTGAGGCGACGGGGCCCTTCCCTACCCACGCCTGCTCCCCCCCCCCCCGTGCTCACCCACTCCCACCCATGTTGGCTCTTGCCAGCCGCCACACGCCTGGCCCCAAATTGCAAGGGAGCCGCAGACAAAGGAAGCGGGACGGGGATCCCTTGCGACTCCCCCCAGGCCGCCTTTGTGGGCCTTTCGCATCGCATTTTGTGCCGCCAGCTCATCCCGGCCACCGGCATGGCTCCTGCGGAGCGAGGCTCACGCCCAGTTCAGCCACCCACTGGATCAACGCCCCCCCCCCCACGGTGCGACCACGGTTCGCCGCAAAGTGACTTTCGCTCAGAAGGGGTCCCTCATGACACACATGTGGGAAGCGGTGCCCGGACCCACCGGTCCCCGGTCTCGTGACTGGACATGTCCGCGGATGGGGATGTCCCTTCAGCAGGCAGAAGCCGGGCCCGGATGGCCTTCTGCTTGACCGTGTGGTGACGGGGGAGGCAGGGGGGCTGAGTGACAGCATCAGAACCACGGGATACACACAGTGGAGGGGGGGTCCCCCCACTGCCGCCCCACCCTCCGTATGCCGCTGGCTACGCAGAAAACAGTGATGTTTGTCGATGAAGACTGCTGGATGAAAGAAGCAAAGAGCAATTCCTCCAGACTAAACTCAAGAGAGGAAAGGCGAAAAGCATCCTTTTTTGAAGCCTGAAATGGGTCCATAGCAGACCCACATCGGCTCGCAGGGGGCTCTTAGCACCAGCAGCTCGATGTCCCGCGAGGAGCTCCGAGTGGGTTTTGTGGCTTCTCGAACGGATTAAATTGGTGGCCTGTGTTTCCTTCCAAACTGGGTCAAGGGTTTTGGAGAAGGGTCGCGCATGCAGGGCTCTTTCCTTCTCTCTGTGCCTCCTAAGAAGAGCCTGTTCTGCAGTGCTTGGCAATGGACGGCGTTGTCCTTCTGTCGAAAGCAGGAAGGCCTGGCAGGTGGGGGTGAACGGGCTCCCGTCATAGCTGCCTCCAACGGAAAGCAGCCCACAGAGGGCCGAGGAACAGAGGTGTGTGGGCTTCAAAGGGATCTTCTGGAGTGATTGCTGCATTATTAGGTAAACTCTCAGCAGAAAATCTTTTAATCCACTGTGGCTAATCCAGTCTGCTTTTGTTGGCCCCGACATATTCAGGCCCGACAAAAGGCGCTGCTTGGCGGACACGGGCATACATAATGCATTCATAACCCAGCTCCGCTGCAGCCGCAGGAGCAGGCAAGCAGCAGGGACTGGAACGGGCGCTCTCTCTGCAAGGCTTGTGCCGAGTTTTGTTGCTTCGTTTCAAAGAGCCTTGCTGATGCGGCCATGAGGGACTCGAGGGCCCAAACCAGCCATGCCTTTGCTGCAGCGGAGTTCCCCCTCCTCCACTCAGGGGTTCTGGGCTGGCACATCCGGGCCCCCTGAGCTCAAGGGGCTGGAAGAGGCTCGGCTGCAGGAGTCTCCTTGGCGCAGCGGTGGCGCCCTGGCCCTTCCCCGCCTCAACAAGGCAGCTCGGGCTGCAGTGGCCCAACACACATCAAGAGTCGCTCGCTCCACAGCTGAGGAAGCCAGCCTTCGGGAGGCAGCTGCTGAGAAGCTCTGTGCTCCCATACCCCATTCTGCAAGAGGAGCCTTGTTTTGCAGCCACCAATGAGATGCAAATCAGGAACTCTCCTGTGGCTGCCGAATTTGAGTGTGGGGCCGGGGATGACAGAGGAACATCTCGCAGCTGCTTTCCCTGCCTTTCTGGCTGTAAGATCAGCGCAGCTGGGCCTGTGGAAATGAAGCAGAGGGCTCGGCTGGGTGCGGGGACCTGCCCCCGACTGGCTTCTCAGGTTGGTCCCTTCAGGCTGCTGCTATAGGCACTCACCGGAGAAGAACAGAAACTGACTGCTGACCTGCCTGCCTGGGATTAAACTAGTGTAAATTGTGCATACCGGATTGGAGAATGGCAAACGGCTGCATTTGTCGTGCATTCTACGATGGCTTTAACATGCACTGTATGTTTCAACTTGGAATGTTTCACAGGGCAAAAGAATAATTTAAGAGTATAATTTGCCTGCCCCCTTTTGAAAAGTGATGGGAAAGGGTTCTTTGATTACTTTAAACTCCCTAATTTGTTAAGTGTAGCTCAGTCAGCCTAGGAAAATAGTAAATTCCCAAATAAATTTGTAGATGTGGCCAGCTCCAATGGCAAAGGCCACGCTTTGGCTACAGGATGATGTGGAAATACATGTGGCACTAATGGAGGTCTTCAGTTACGCTGCCAAAAGCGGCCCCTGCAAGAAGTTCTTGAGAGGAACAGCTGGTAACTTTCTTCCAAGGTAAGTGGAGGAAGGAATGAAGAGAATCTGCTGTCCTCAACTTAATACTGACTAATCAGGAGGACTTAGTGGATAAAATGAAAGTTAGGGGAATTCTGGGAAAAAGTGACAACATACTTGAGTTTCTGATTTTAAAGGGAGCAAAATCCAAGTGTAATTATACACATTCTCTGGATTTTGGGAAAGCTGATTTTAATAAATTCAGGATAAGGTCCTGGGAACTACAGACCAGTTAGTCTGTCATCAATGCCTGGGAAAATGTTGGAACAGATAATGAAGCAGTCAGTCTGTAAGCTCCTTGACAATAATTCAGTATTTATTTATGTATTTATGTAGTGCTTTTGTGTACCATCACATTAGCCACTGGCTTGCTGAATGCGTTGTACATGGCCATCCCAAAAGTGTTAATAGTTGAGCTTCAAGAACATTGCACTTCAAATTAGTGCTGTGGTTTAGGAGTGTGGCCTGCCATATGTGGGATAGAATGGATGGCTGGAGAAATCAATTAATACTACCCCCCCTGCACCCCCCCCCCCCAAATAGGGTTGCTTCACCGAAGACCCAGCCGCAGTTTCATTCTGACAGGCCTCTTCTGCAGAGTGCTGGGGGCAGAGGGCTTCTCGGGCACCTGGTGCCTTTGCTGGCCGCCGGATGGACCAAAAGCAGCAGTAATTTCAGGTGCCCAAAGGCTGCCCCTCCCTGCTGTGAAGGGCCTCCCCACCACCTCACCCCCTGGTCCTGCTCCCTCCTCTTCCTTGCCCCTCCACACACTCTTGCTGGACGGCACCCTGGTGGCGGGGCCTGCAGGAACAAATGGAGCCGGCCGGCCGACCAGGCAGGGGTCGGTGGCTGTCCTGCGGGACCAGGTGCCTGTACCCGAAGCCTCCGCACCCCTCTCTGCCTGCGGCAAGGCTCCACTCCAGAGCGTCTCCTGTGCTTTGCCTGAGAGAATAAGGCTCACTCTTTGTTTCCATGCCGGACAGGAAGAAGTGCAAGAGGCACGTGGATCAGTCCTTGGATGGAAAACCTCCCTTGAACAACGTCAGGAGATGTGCAGCAGGGTAACTATCAAGCCCATTCCCAGCTTCCATTCGCCCCAGCCAATCAAGGGCAGGCATGCGGGGCTCCGGAAAAGCACCGCTGCACACCTGGAGGGACCCCGGGGTGCCCCCCCGGTGGTGCTGCAGAAGGCTGCTTTGCTCCTCTGTTCCCCTTCTCGCATTTTGAAAATGGCTGTATAAAGAGCGCGCATTTCTAGAAGCACTCAGTGCTGACTCTTCTGGCCTGTGCAATCCTTTTGTTGGGACTGGGGATGTGGGAGAAGAGACTCCCGTGTTCAAGGAAGGAGCTGGGAGGGAGGAACAAAAGAGGCATGCCCACTGGCCCCGCTAATCGGCTAAGCAACAGAGGACATCCCGATGCAACTGGCAGCTCTGGACCCTGGAACAAGGACACGCCTCCCTCAGCACACCCCTGCACAGCACCACCAGAGCACCCCACAGAGCCCCACAGAGCAAAGGTTCACATCTGGCTCAGGACAGGATAGATGCATAGATAATTTTACCCTCAGGCCCCTGGATCCCGCTGGGAGGGAGTGAAGGGGCTCTTCGTCCTAGCAACAAAGAAACAACGGGACAAGACCTGAGCCATGGTTATGCAGCATCTCATTCAGAGAGCTTGAAAAGGAAAGCCACAGGTGTGCCATCACCAGGTTGTTGGCATGGCAGGGCTCCTGGCCTGGGATGGTGACTTGACAGGCAGCAGGACTACAGCTGCAGTGCCCCGGGGTGTCAAGAACCCTTCTTCACTGCTGCTTTGGCCAGACCTCATTTCCACACCTAGCAAGGTGAAGAACTGGGAGCTGGCGAGCACAGGCCTGCCTTGCCACGAGGCAAAAGCATCCCCTTCTAGGCAGCGGACTGCTGTTTGGGGGGGGGGGTTGGCACCCCAGACTGGACAACGGTCAGGTCTCTAAGCAGAGGTGCGGGCTCAGGATCCTGTGGGTGCTGCAAAGCCAAACTGCTTCTGCCGAGTGTGTCCCATCCTCAGACTGAGCTTCCCGTGTGGGTTCCAAGTGTGCGCAAAACAGGTAAGGAGCCTCCGGAAGGAAGGCAGGAGTAGACAGGCATACCCAAAACTCCCTGCTGCTCATGCAGACACCCATCCTAAGCCAGTTTGGTGGCATGTGCAGTGAGCCAATGAGCATGGCTATCCTGGGCATCCTTTACTATCCGTTATATTACCGTGCTTTCTCCCTGGAGGATCTGGTTCCAGGGCTGGCTGCTGCTGGTGCCAGCAGGCAGTCCTGCATGGCCCTGGCAATAGCAGAGGATGCAAGCTCCGGACGACCGGATGGAGAGCAGCTGCAAGCCCGAGTGGGCCACCGGGCTCGGGCAACAGGCCCATCCCGGCAGCCCCCCCCCCCCCGGGCCTGTGGCTGCCATCGGGAGCGGCCTGCTTCCGGGCCAGGTGGAGAAAGCAGCTGGGCGGGATGCTGCGCCTGCAGGCGCCTGACCAGGCTTGCTCTCTCTCCTCCTTGCTGCCCCGAACCACCCGGGGCTGGATCCGAGCGGAGGCCCTTCCCCGCCATCAGACTGCGGGGGGAAGGGGGCTCCTCGCGGGCCCCGGAGGCGTCTGTGCGCGCCCCGGGACCTCCCCCCGCGGAGGATCCGCGCGCCTCCCTTCAGCTCTCCGGCCGGCCGTCTCTTTCCTGGCGCCTTGCGGCCTGGCGGCAGCGAGCCAGCCGCCCTCCCGGCGGAGGCCTCTGGAGGACGCCGGCCCGGACCCTGCCCTCGCGCTCCCCGACGCCGAGGGAGGCGCGCGACGGGCGGCCTCGCGCTCGACAGGCTGCGGCCGCCGCCCCGCTGGCCCTGCGGCGGCGGCGGCGGACGCTCGCCGTTGCTTGGTAACCGCGGCCCGGCGGCCGGAGCGCCGCCCGTCCTTCCTGGGGCCGCGCGGGGCGCTGCTGAGCCGCCTCCGTCACTGGCGGCGGAAGAGGAGCAGGGAAGGGAAGGAAACGGCGGAGGCGGCGCCAGGCCGAGCGGAGCGGAGCCGAGCCCCCGGCCCGAGCCCCGGCCCGCCCCACCCGCCGGGTCTCGCCGCTATGGAGGCCCCGCGCCGCCCGCCTGCCGCGGCCTCCTTGCCGGGGCGGCTGCCGCCGCCGTTCCGCGGCCTCCTCCGCGCTCCCTCGGGCCGCCGGCGGTGAGTCTCGGGAGAGGGCG